GGCTAAAGCCATGATTAGTAAAGGTGCATAATCTGTCATATTAGTGAAGAGGAGGGATATTTGGTCATTTTGGGTGGTTTGGACAATGTTAGTATTTATTACTGTATTGAGACATAATTACACAATGGTCACTTTTTTGTCGTGATCCATCATGATTGTAGAGTGGCCCTGTCTGAGGTGAGCATTTGGAGTTGTTTGTCATATTCAACATGAGAACATTACAGACTAGCTTCAAGCACTAGTACAGCATCTAGCACCTCCAAGGCCTAACTGTAGTGCCAACCCAGCTCCTGGGTCTCAGTGGCTGCTCTTTTCTTTCTCAAATGAATGTAAACAGAGGCATAACAAGATACTACTTATGTTTTAGTAAGTTCACTCTGGCAGAAGTGATGTGAAAACTTCTAAAGTAATACAACATTAGTGGCAGTGAAGACCAGCTAGGGACTGTCATCTTAAACCAAAGTCAGCCATGATATTAGCTTTAGTCAGGGTTGTGGTGATGGGAACAGAGAGAATTGGACAGTTTCAAGAGCTGTTAAGGGAATGAGATTAAATGAACTTGTCAAAGGGTAGACTTGTGAATGGTAGAAGAAAAAATCTAGATGACCCAGTTAGCTTTTCGGTTTCTGGATGAGGTTGCTGGAAGAAGAAAAGTAAAAAGAAGGAATAAAGGAGTGCTGGAGAGAGACTGAAGTTTAAGTTTGCAGGCAAACATTCAATTAAATTTGTCTATTATGCAATTAGATATATTGGACTGGGCTTTAAGGGAGAGACATGAGCTAAAGATACACATTTGGGAGTCATTAGAAAATAGATGCTATTTGAACGGGAAGTAATGAGGATAATCTAGAGAGGAAAACAAGGGAAGAACTGTACAGAATTTCAATATTAAAGGAAAAACAAGATGGAACAAAATGGCAAAAACGTTAAAAAGGTAAACAATAGAGAGTGGTAGTCCATAATCCAAAGGAGGAAAGAATTTCATGAAGGACTAAGAGGTTAATAGGGTCTAGTCCTGCAGAGAAGTTGAGAAAATAAGGCACAAAAATATTCACATATATATTTATAGGATAGGATGGAAAGATGGAAAAACAGTCTGTTTAAAGGCTGATGATAAAGACCCAGAAAATAGGGAGGCAGTGAAGAAATGGATGTGTGGCTGAATGGAAGCAGGTTCCTGAGGACACAGACAGTGAAGATATTGAATACACACCCCCTGAGATTAGCCCTAATGAGCCAAAACAAAGTCTCTTCCACCAAGGCAGAGGGAAATAAAGAGACCGTGAGCACAAATACACATAATTTAAGAGAGATTGTTTTAACTAAAGTAAGAGGGAAAGTCACCTACTGTAAATGGTGGGGGAAAGTTTAAGAGACCTATAAAAACTTGAAATCATAGTGAAGAAAAGTTGAGAAAATTTACTAGGGAAGTATGGAAAGCTTAGGAAGAATTACTGATGAGTCTGTTAAAGTGTGTTTTTTCCCGAAATGGAGTAATGTCTGGCAGCGAAACATCTACAGTATTGTTAATGCAAGTGGGTAGGTGAATTGAGGAGATGAGGGAAATGGAAGCTATTGGAGACAGCAAGATAGTCCACATGGGCTGAGATTTTTAAGGATAAAGGCATAACTTGGGTGGAGGAGACTGTGAACCTGATGCCAAAGTCTTCAAAGAGAAAATAATAGAATAAATTGGTGAATGACAGATGGCCACTTGGCATGAAACACAAGGGAAAAGGTAGTTTTACATTAAGGGTGGTACCTTTGGAAGTGACCCTGAGAAGTGAGTAAACTAGCAATTCTAAAGGAGTGGAGGAGTGAGTCATTAATCTTCGTGGTGATCTTAAGGGTAAAAGTATTGGGTTGGCCAAAAAGTTCGTTTGGGCTTTCCCCATCTTACAGAAAAACCCGAACGAAATGTTTGGCCAACCCAATAAATTCCACATATGAACAAAACGGGTATACAGGAGAGAAAGTCTGTTTTGGAAGAAGGGTTTCCAAGTGCACAGTGAATGAGTGTGAGAAAGCACAAAGAAGAGAAAGTGAGACAGGAAAGAGTACAGAAGAGCATAGAGACGAAGATACAAGAAAGGACAGGTGAAGAGAGGTTCCTATATTCTCCGTGGCAAGCACAGATAATAGAGATAAGGGAACTGTAGAATTAATTGGCTTGAAGATTTCCCACAGAACTTGGTGAAAAGTTGATTTGGTATGGGTGTAAGCAAGTGTAAGTCCCAGGAAGAGCCCAAGGCCTGTTGACCTTAATGGCTAGTAGGAAAGCTTTTCAGGAGAACATTGTAGAGGTATAAAATCACCTTGGGGTAAGAAGAGCTTGTTTTGTTGGTTTAATTACTAACTTACATTACCATGTGCTCAGTTCAAGAAGTTGAGTAGCTATACCTGTTAAGTCAGCTGGAAATTCTGAACTATGGCGACATTAACAGAATGAGCGAAGAACACCTAGGAGTCTGGTAAAGTCTCCCATTGTGTATTGATTCTCCAACATTTATGTACATAGGAATCACCTGTGGATCTTGTTTAAATGCAAATTCTGATTTATCAAGCCTGAAATCAATCCTACAGGTCTAAGAAGCTCACAGATGATGCCAATACTGGTTGTCCAGGGACCACACTTTTAGTAGATATGTCCCCTAGAACTCAACTTTTAAAAAAGTGTATTATGGGGGCCTCCCTGGTGGCGCAGTGGTTGAGAGTCCGCCTGCCGATGCAGGGGATACGGGTTCGTGCCCCGGTCCGGGAGGATCCCACATGCCGCGGAGCGGCTGGGCCCGTGAGCTATGGGCGCTGAGCTTGCGCGTCCGGCAACGGGAAAGGCCACGACAGCGAGAGGCCCACATATCGGAAAAAAAAAAAAAAAAAAAAAAAAAAAAGTGTATTATGTTAATTATATGGATAAAACACATTGTTAATAGAGAAGGAAAATTTTTGTTAGATTTAAAAGTATATAAATCTGAAGTGATAGTGTCCTAGGATATTCTAATTGGCTGAAAGTGCTTGATTCCTTCATTCATTTATTACTTCAAGTGAAAATAAAAAGAGGAGGTATTATTTAGCCATTTTTAATGAATGCCTAAAAATGAATTAATACCACTCAAGCTCATGAGACAGGCCTCCCATGTGTTCAAAATAACCTACATAAACTGACAGGCAAAGAAGCAAGAAAATTAATGTATGCCTAAACTGCATATCCATCATCATTACTATGTATTTCTCTCAAGGATTTTTTAAATACATATACCTTATATTTAGCCTGAAGGAAATGTCTAGGTAAATCATTTCATTTCCTATTTTAGTAGGCAATTAAGAATGATGTTTTTATTTCAGAATATGAGAGTAAAAGTTGATAGAGGTGACTCAACGAAGCATCAGAAAACTACTCATACAGTATTGTACATTTTTTTAGCACTTTCAGTCTCATTGCTGGACACTATTGATTAAATGCAAATTGCTTCTAGGTAACCATATGATAACAGGAAATTTTTAAATTTATAGTCTGGAAATGCTAGAATTCAATTTTCCTGCTTGATCAAAGCTATTTTAAGACACAGAAATAGGATGGCAAACAGTTAAGTAGATTATTCAGATAGATAAAAAATATTTAATTAGCTAATAAAATGTCTACCCAAGGTGATTCATACTTTCAGTGGTCGAGTATGTCACATGAACTCCGAAACATAATTAGAGTTCATCTTCTCTAAGTAATTTTCTACTTGTAGAATTTCCCTCAAAAATTATAACAAAGAATATACCTTTGAATAAGTATACTCTGAAATAAGATATTTCGCTATTTTCTACATGTTATCATTCAGTTTAATTTTAAAACTAAAACATTAACAATCATAATTCCCTTTTCTTGAAACTATTTATAATAGTCCGTTATTAAGCTGATAACACAATACCACAGAGAGCCAATAAGAAATTTAAAATAACTTTCCCATTTATAAACAGTCAACTCTGAGAAATGTTGATGAAATTCTCTCTCCCCCTCAAACAGCCTATAAAAACAGAATTTTTTCTCCTAGAAGAAGATTTTTTTGTTCTCTAAAAGTTCCAACCCCATGGCAGGTATTCCCTTGTATCTGTGGTAGTGTTGTACTTGTAAAAATCTAATAGATTTTGTAATTCATGAAATCAAATGCTGGAAAGATAAAGCAGAGTGAATCCACACATGTGATCTTCCTATAGCTAAAATTATTTAACATTCAGAATACCTGTTTCTTTAGCCTGCCCACTGCAGAATATTCACTCTGCCTGTTAGAAATTTCCTCACAAACTATTGCCAATTATATACCAAAAATGGATGTTTATAAGTCGAAGTTGAAAAATCAAAGCCTTGAAAATGTCCCTGAAGATGAAACAGCTCTTATTAAATTAATAAAAATCCCTATTGCAAAGGATGAAACTATAATGTCTCAGTAGGAAATAAAACCAGCAAACAATCTTTTATAAAAAAAATAGTGAAAAAGGCCGGGCATCTTTTAGTTATGTTAATGTAATACATACATATCCAGAAAATGCAAATATGTTATAACTTATGACAATTATTAATGACTTTGAAGTATAACATTTTGATGATAGTGAGAGCACAAACAGGGTCTTTAGTATTCCTAAGGGTCGGGTCTATTCTATTCCATTCTGTTCTGCAAGCCTGCTAAAATAGCAGCCTTCAGGTGAAAGAACAATATATGAAGAGAAATCAATATGAGTTCATGTTACAAAGTTGTTAATTTACAGTTAAATAATATAAAAGTTAAAGAAGGTTTACAAAAAGTATTCCTCGTCACAGCAGAATCAGTAAACATTTCTCTATGCTAAACTTTGATTATACTTGATATGTAAAATATATTTCAAAGATATCTTTAAAAGCATTATATCATATCACTTTAATCTTTTCAACTTTAAGAGAATAAGAGTTCATAGCATAGAGTTTACAAGCAGCAAAACTTAGAAAAATACATAAAAATTAATGCATAACCTACATTGACTTTTTCTTTAAGGTCTGAGAAGTTGCCTTCCTTCCGATAGATGGCAAACTCAGGACTCTGCAACACAGCTTCTGAACGAGTAATCCAACTGTGAAGTTCAGTTATATCAACATCCAACCTAAGACAGGGAAGAAGAAGGGTCATTATTTCTTGATTATCTCTTTCTTCTATATGGAAAAAAAAAAAGCAATCTATCAACATTTACCATTTTTTCCCCAACCTGAAACTTCTGCCTGATGCCCCTATTACTGTTAACAGCATTACTATTTCCCTAGTCAGGATGGCTCAAAATTTGGAGTCAGCTTTGATCCAGTCTCATGATCACAGAGGTCATTTTATTCATCTCAATGTAGCAATGACCTCTACAGTATCTTCTATAAGTTGTTCCTCAGCCTTTGTTTGAATGTCTGCATGACTGAAAAGTTAGTACTTTCCAAGATAACTCTCTTTCTTTTTGGAATGTACTTACAGTAAACAAAAAATTCCTTTTGGTGGCCCCCATTAAACCATATCTCGGATACTCATGCCCTTCGTGTTGTCTCCAACCATACTGACGCTGTTTGGTCATATGACTTGCTATAGCAAATGGGAGGGATATTAGTACGTGTAACACAAGCAGGGGCTTGACAAGTGCTTGCACCTTGGATCTTGTCCTCGTAGAACACACACTCTGAGAAGGCAAGTGTTATATAAGACTTTGAAGGATCCTAAAGTGCTTTACAAAAGCTCAGGCTTGCCAGGTGGAGAGACCACGTGAAAGAGCATGCAGCACCAGGCAAGTGAATAAAGCCTTCTTTGACCTTCTGACCCAACTCAAACACCAGCTGAATACAACCAAGTGAGTGCTCTAGCTGACTCCACTCAGAACCACGGAACTGCCCAAAGAGCCCTGCCCACATTGCAAAATTGTGAGATATGATAAATAAATAAATAAATAAACAAACCATTAAATTTTGAGGTGGGTTGTTATGCTGCAATAGATACGTGATCACCCACACTGTTATTCTCAAACATTCTTTTATTGCAGAGATCTATGGAGCTACTGGGAATAAACTATTAACTCTGATGAGGTGATTCAGGTCTACTTAAAGCAGATATTTTCAAGGGAGTAGGTGAGTTGCAAGGGTGGAGAATGTCTATGAATCACTTGAAATTTCAGGCACAATTCTGAATGTGTGTGCATTTTTCTTGAGAAAGAACCTATAGATTTTATCAGCATCTGTAAAGAATCTATGATAACGGGAATTTAGAGATCATCTAATCCAATTGTTTATTAAACAAAACAAACAGGCAAACAAATGAAAGTTACCCAGAGAAATCAATGACTTACTCAATTTTCATAGGAAATCTGTGGAGTAGACCAAAAATACAAATACAAGATTTAAGACACCAAGTAATATACTGCAATCACCATGCTGTAGCTTCTTTTCCAATACAACCCTCAAATAGTTGAAATCGACTCTTTAAATCCACTAGAAGATATGTGATGGTCAGCCTACCCTACTCCTAGTTACTTCAATGGATATTCCATGGTTTACTTTCCTTAAAATTTGGTTCCTAAAAAGATCATATCAGTGGTGTTTAGTATAATCAGGAAAGAATAGACAATTATCTTCTTTATGAGTACTTTCATTGAGGTAGCCTATGAGCTCAATCAACTCAAACTTCACGGCTTTAAATCATATAAACCTGTTAGAATTTTTCATGTTAGTTGCAGGTTATTGTTTTAAAATTAAACTGATAAAGAGTTTCACAGAACACAAAACACTTCCAAAAGCCTTTTGTTTTCTTACAAAAATCAGTGGTAAGGTACTACTAATCTCTCTGCTCATATGAGGAGATGGAGGCTCAGAGAAATTAAGTCAATTGATCTCAGACTGTTAGTACCATACGGACGAAACTTAATTCATCTTGTTCACCATTATATCCTTCACCTCAAAGAGGACCTGATTCATAGTAATAAATATTTACTAAGTTTTGATTTACCAAGGCTACCCAACTGGAAATAGAAGAAACAGAGATCTGAATTCAGAGATTTTTTATTCTAAATTCCACATCATTAAATGTCAATCCCTTATTTCATTTGCATATGGATTATCAATATTTATGATGTTTTATTTTATCATACATGGTGATTATCTTTCCTACATTTGTTTTTCGCATAAGTTTAACTATTAGGTTTCCTATTTCTTCACTTGTAATGCTGATTTTAAGAGTCCTGTTGCATGCTACTAAAAATCTTTCTCATTGATGTTAATTTATGAAATCAACAGTCTTCAACTATGGTCATTTAGCCACCCACCAAATCCAGCGCATGTTTTCCATCAGAATGTCTTAAGAAGGACATTTTTGTTTTTCCTTTAGTTCAGTATAAAAATCTGTGTGTGTCTGTGCCTGTGGACATTCACTTGCCAGTGCATGGGGCAGGCCAGGAGTACTGGGATGTTAATACCTCAGGGGTGACCCTCAGCTAGTGAGAGCCGGGAGTTGGTAGATAAATATCCCAGCTCCCTTGCCTTCAGTGCAACCACCTTGAGGGATATTACACACAGTGTCTCAGAAGGTTCCCAGCAGGACTGAGCACAGTTGCCTCCATTGTTAACCTGCTCATGTATCATCCTGTAATGGCGGCCTTTTTCTTATCTCACTTCCTCACTTTGCTTCCTGGGATTACTTCCTAAAAAAACTACCTGCACCAAATCTTTGTCTCCAGATCCACTCTTGTGGAAACCCAGACTAAGGCAATGATCAACAGCCTCAAATGAGCCCAGCATCCTGCCATATTTAATTTTTTCACCTTGAGCTCTGACTCTCCACAGGAACTATTTCAAACTTTTCCCAAAGCTCTCAAAGCTCTGATCCATCTTTTTTGTTTGGGATTGACATATACACACTGCTATATTTAAAATAAAAAACAAGGGGAAAAAAAATCAACCAAAATGAAAAAAAAAAAGCTCTCATCCATCTTATTTCTCCACCTATCAAAAGATGACACTGTTTCCTACTTTACAAAGAAAAGTGCAATTATCAGACTAGAATTTCTCCCTTCCACTTCCTATGTCCAAATATTCAGTCTTACCTGCCTGTGCCCTTCTCATTCCTTTCCCTTCAAATGAGTTTCTCTTCTTTTACTTAAAGCCAATCCCTCTACCTGCATTTTGTACTTCATTCTCGTACTTCTTCTCAGGCGTCTGAGTCTATCATTTTTTTTAATGTATCCACTGTAAATTCAACCCCTCCCTCTCAAGTTAATTCTTCATATGGAAATTTAAACATATTTTTATTGATTCCTTTATTAAAAAATCAACACTCTCTTGACCCCCATATTCTCCTCTGGCCATTCTCTTATCTTCTGCAAAGGCAAATGTTTTGCAACAGTTGTCCAGTTTCCTGTCAGTTCCCCATCTCCTCTTCACCCCTTAATCCACTCAATGTTGTTTCTTAACAAAAACATATTAATAAAGGAATCATGTCACTAAAGCCAATGGAGAGTTTTACTTTCTTGCCATCTAGCAACACTTAACACTGTTGTTGACCATACTCTTCTTTGAAATTCTTTTTTTGCCTCCATGATCCCCCTCTATTTATTTTGTCTTCTATTTCTATGACCATGGGTAATTTTTTCTTTGCAGGCTCATCCTCTTCCATCCTGTTATTACATGCTGAAGTTATCAAGGCCCAGTTCATTTCCAATCATCTTCTATCCTATTATATTACTCTCTCACTAGCAATCTTATTCATGCTAATGACCTTAACCACAATATATATATCAATGACTCCGATACAGATATCTCTACTTCAAGCATTTCTTCTGAGCTCCATAGCTACATAACCATCCACCTACTGGATGATCCCACTTGCATGCTGTAAGAGCTCTTTCAATATATAATGTCAAGACCTAATGTTTGATTTTCTCTCCCAAACTGGTACCCTCCCAGTGTCCTCAGACCTGTGAATGGTATCACCGTCTATCACCTTTGATACCCTCCTCTCCCTTCCCTCACATATTTAGCAAAGTCTAATCCATCAAACATGCTATTTCGTGTGAATCTATCTCTACAGTTGGCATCCTCACTGATCTTGCCATTAAATGTGACCAAAACTACTGAAATGGCCTCTCCACTGGTTCTAGGCAACCTTTCTGGAACCCTCCCATCTGTTCCATGCACTACTGGTGAAATTATCATTTCTAAAAGATATCTGATTATATAACCTTCATTCATTAAGCCACTCAAAGATTTTCCATTTTTCTTAGGATAGAGAGCAAAATTTCAGACCTCTTAACCCTATACTTTACTTCTAGAAACAAATCTCTCTTCAAGTTTCTTAGGGAACCAAGGACCCATACTGCAGTCTTGTCCCTCCGCCAATGAAGTGAAATCCTTCATTGACTCTTATCCACTAGAAGATTTCTATTTTGGAAACTTGGCTTCTTGATATAATCCATGTTGGTCACTCTGGTCAAATCTGTCCCTTCACCTTTACACTAGTCTGACTCAATCACACATCAAATACTCTCTGAGTCATAAAGGTGAGATGTGAATATCCACCATTCAATGTCAAATTCTCCCTTTAGACTTGGTTTTTGTGGTCCCACACCCTTTTGATTCAGAGCATCTCTGTTAAAGATTGCTCACATCCACCTACAGGTCCATGAAACTAAAAGTTGACTCAAGTTGCTAAGCTGGCATCACAGCTGGGAGAGTTCTGCTAAGGCCTATGTTGGAGAAAGTTTTCACCAGGCCCGGAATTTACATTGGTCTTGTTTGAACATGTGTTATAATTATCCTTTACCACCACCTCTAATCAATTGCAAAAAAAAAAAAAAAAAAGGTAAAGGATATTTATTCAGTTTGAAAATAATTTTCCAAAAGATCATAATACTTTTAGACATCTGTCTTTCTGAAAAATGTGAAACTGTATGTTTCCTTTTAAAACACATCTCTACCTTCGTTTCTGCCACAAAATATATACTAAGTGCTTATTATATGCCAGACATAGTATTAAACTCCACAGATAACAGAGATGAAAATGCAGCAGTCCACATTATCAAGGAGTTTGGTTTAGCAAAGCATCCATTTGACAAAAAATGCTTTAGACATAGAACTGGGGCTCAGC